AGAGAATAAAAGAATAATTACGAAGAAATGTGTATAAACAAGAAAATAAATATTCGTAAGAACATTAAAAAAAGTTAAATAATTGAAAAATAATATCATGGGTGCACGCTTGCATGAATTTTGTGAAGCGACTTCTTCAGGTAAAAGTAATGATAGCGAAATGGGAAATCGCACTGTACGTAACAATTGAATTACGATGGACTTGCCTTTCCTCTACGTAAGATAACAAATTTCATTATTGCATTATTGAGATGTTCAGTGTACACAGACGTTAATCATGGAAAGCTCAAAAGCTCGTTTTCTACTTTTGTTCTTTGATTTGAAAAAGTCTGCCGCCGAAGCCCATCAAATATTCTTAGAATATCATGGTTGTGCTGCTCCATCGTATTCCTATTGTTGGTATTCCTATTGGTGATTTTAATCTCGATGACCAAAGAGGACCAAAAAATTCGAGGCTAATAAATTGCAAAACTTATTGGACCAGTATCCAACCACAAGTTTTAAAGACCGTTCAAACAGCTTCAAACCGTGAAAACAACACGAACGGTCGGACGTTTTTAATTAAGTCAGTTTCGATTTTTACGCCGAATCTTGGAGGAGTGCTTCTGAGTGTCCCATGTGGAGGAAAAATCCAAAGCAAAAAAAAATTTTTAAAAACAACCCGAACGGCCGGACGTTTTTAATTAAGTTGACTTCGATTTTTACGCCGAATCTCGGAGGAGTGCTTCTGAGTGTTCCACGTGGAGGAAAAATCCAAAGCAAAAAAAATTTTTAAAAACAACCCGAACGGTCGGACGATTTTAATCAAGTCGACTTCGATTTTTACGCGGAATCTCGGAGGAGTGCTTCTGAGTGTTACTTGTAGAATAAAAACCCAGATGCTTGAAATTGTTTCTTTAGCATTGTTGCGTGATCTAATCTGCTTATGAGTTTACATTAACAGATCTTTACTAGCAAAGGAAAACCGTGCCGGGAGTTTGATAATTTCATATATATTTCAATAGCTTTTCTTCAATAGATTTTCTTTGCATACGAATTGTGATTATAATCACTCTTACGAACATTTTTATTGAAGTGTTTGAATTTGAAAATCGTACATTAGCGGTTGACATCTAACGAGCAAGCACCCTGGGAGATGGAACGACACACCAAGCGAATGCCTTTATATTTTTGTGACGTATGTGTAGCAGCAGTGTAGGAAAGCAAGGTTAGAAGGCAATTTCGAAGGCATGACTGTAACTAAACTGATACAACCACTCATTCATTTTCAAAGAAAAATTAACACCCACTTGCATAAACAAATTTAAAAGTCAGCTTAAATATCACTCGACTATGACTCGATAAAACATGAAAAAGGTTTAAAATTCAAATTACGAAGAAAAACATTGAACCCTAAGCTAAAGAGAGAAAGAAAAGGAGCTAAGAAAGAGAAAAGAGAGTTGGACCCCAGAGGCAGTTTTTTTCCCACTATTCTGTGAAGTCGTAAAGAAAGCAACGAAAAAAAGCAAAAAAAAAAAAGTATATAAGAAAACATAAATATAATAAAATTGTTTTTAATTAAGTTGTTTGTCAAGCATCACAACGAAGCACAACCAACAACATACAAACTCATAGAGCTGAGCTTCATTACCACCGCTAAAGTTTCTTCATTTTTTTTTTTTTTTTTTTTGCCGTTTTAATATTTATATAAATACAAAGAATTTAAGTGGCCATCGAAGAGGCAACACTTGATGAAGACGGTAGTGTTAGCCTAAGGCAACAACAAAGACCTACCACCATTAAAAAATATGTATTTTTTTTTTATTTTTTTTTATTTTTTGCTTTACTCCGTTTGCTTTAACTCATATAAAAGTCAAAGACATAGAGAAGAGAAGAACAAATGCAGGCATAAGGAAATTTCTGAAAGTCAATGTCACAGCGCTAAGTAATTAAATACCGGCAATTTTACTGTTGAATTTTAATTTAACATATTCTATGAAGTGATAAATCAAAGGTTAGGTTCAGTGATTACATAATTTTGAACACACACACACACACACACACACACAGTCGCAAAAGGAGAAAAAGAAAAGAAAAAGAGCAAGACTTTGCTTTTCCATGTAATTCTCACACAATTATTTTTAATTTAATTTTGATTTGGTTTTTCATCATGTTCTTCTTCTTATTCGTACTTATCTTATTTCAGATCTCATTGCGGAAGTGATTGTTTTTCTTCATTTTTTTTTTTCCTTTTTTTTATTGTTCAATTGTTTTTATTCCCTTAACACAAAATAAGTAAACAATTGAAAGCTCACAAATTATGAGGCTACAGCAGCAACATCAAAAACAACCTCAGCAACGAATTTTTTTATTATTGAGTAATTGCAAAATGTCTCGTATGGCAATTGTTTGTTTTCTACTTTTATTCACCGTCACCACCAACACTCGCAACGTAAATGCGGCACGAAGATCGCGCTTAGATTTAGCAACATCCTCGTCGTCATCATCATCAGCATCAGCATCATCATTATCATCTTCAGCAGGTTCCATATCAAATGCCTATACTAATACAGCCAATGCGGCCAATATTAACGCCAATATAGAGTCTATGGCCTCTAACATTCATAGCAATAATAACAAGAACAACAACAACAACAATAACAATAACTACAATTACAACAGCAACAGTAATAGCAACAACTATAATGGCCCTTTGAATGAAGTTGCTTCATTACCACTAAAAAGTGATCAATCATCATATTCAGCTGTTCAAGCATCAAATGATGAGTTACCTACGGCTGTGAATGCCGCCTCTCTAACGACAAAAGATGCTATTGACGGTGCTGGAGCTTCGATCGCGTCTTCTGCTGCTCACGCTGCCGCCACAGCAACGGTTGTTAATGAAAAGGAAAATAATTCTGCCGCCACCGCCACCGCCAACGAAAATGATGCTCCCTCATCTTTGCCTCAAGACAATAGTAACGCGAATGCTGAAAAATCAACTGTTGTTCTTAGTGGTGTTGATGTTGGTGGTGAAGATCAATTACCTGTAGAACAAAAGGAAATACCATCAGCCAGTTTTGAGGACATTGACGCCGAAAGTTCTATAAAAACATCAACAGCCACAGCAGCTTTGTCGTCATCATCTTCTATTGGGTTACAACAGCAGCAACAACAACAACAACAACAACAACAATATGAATCACAAAGACAGCACTCGCAACAACAACAACACGACAATAACAACAGCGGTTCAGATGAATGTGATTCAGAAATGCTTGGCTTCGAAATTGTTACTGGGTAAGTTTTTTTTATTATATGTATTAAAAAAAAATTTTATATATATCCGATAAAAGTTTTAGGTTTTTTTAAATACAGTCATAGAGTGCTGCTGGTGGTAACCGATAATTTTTGTACAAATTTTATTTTTAAATACTATTCAAGTCTTCAACTTCGAACTGCAGGAACGCATTTAAGTTTAGGTGCACTATGGTTGAAAGAAGAAATATTTATGAAAATATTTAAATTCTAAGAATGGAAAGTTAAAAGGGAGTTATGGCAGACATTTCATTTCCGGGCCTTCAAGTAAACAAGAAGCTCTCGTTTCATAAGAATGCTAAAGACACAATATTGGTTTAAAAACCTTATCCATCATCACCTACATACATATATTTCATGTTTCACAACAACTTTTCAAGCAGTTCACATGGAGACATATTCGTTGTGTACCTTCTCCATAAGAATGAAAGCCGTGCTCGAACAACTCTTCCTCGTGAATACATTTAAGCTTTCACAATATTTTCTAGTTAAGCATTCCCTGCTATAGAAAAGGGTTAACCTACCACTCTTTGAATCCCAATTACTTTTGTTAGCTGTTAACAGTTACAATTTCGTTGAATTGGAGCGACTACAAGTATACTACACTCAAAAAATGCCCACCTTAATCCGGAAGGCAAGGAAACTTGAGTTCACCGTCAATGTTAGCAGTTAGCAGTGCGAAAGACCTGCTTTATGCTTTTGCGCACTCCCGATATTTTATCTAGTCCATCAATAGTACACAACGTTCTTCTAAACGCATATCTTCACACGCATAGATTCAGTTATTCTGCTTTTGCGAGATTATTTGCGCTTTGCTTTTCATAACGATCCTAAGCAACTAAGAGCTACCCCAGTTTTTGGATATGGGGATAACTTATACTACATCCCTATAGTCCTAGAAGATAGTAGAAGTCGTTGTTTAACAATTGATGACATGCGATGCAATCCAATGTCTCAATGATAGGAACTTGTCGCGACCGAAGAAAACACTTGCCAAAGTACTCGTACTCGTAATTGTCATAGTAGAAGAAGCTTAAAAAAAAGGCAATAGCACACGATGTTAAAAAAAACAAGGGCAAAGTGCTAAAGGTACGCACAGGTTAGGCAAGTAGGATTTTATATTTGACGCAGAGGGATATTATAAGCCCTTGTTAGGATCATGTTCCCCTGCAAACTCAAAATAGTTTTTTTTTTTTTTGGAGATTAAATTGTTTTGACTACAACTGAATTTTCCACAAACACCAGAAGCATTTTTGCAAATGCGTTGATGAAACGAAACAAAAAAAGGTACCTCTTGTCAATGTATGTATGTATGTATGTAGCAAAATTCATCTCAACACAATGAAAACCTGTTTTAGTTATTGTCTAAAGTGTAATAGAAGTGAACAATTTCCGCAATATTTAAACGAAAATGCTATAAAATATCTTAAGTGTATTCGAGAAACACGACTGCACAAACATGCACACCCATGTTAAAAAAGATACCTTCGCGCCAATCGCGCCTTCTAATAAACGTATAATTTATTGAGTAATGAAACTATTTAAGAATTCCATTAAATGCAAGATACAAATACTCAGAAATGGATGGATGGATGGATGGATGGATGGATGGATGGAAGGTTAGATATATGCGAGCGTTTCCTTCTTTGAGTTTACAAGAGTGTTAACTACAAATGTCAATGCATGGGTTTTTTCTTCTTTTTTCCTTTTTTTTTTTCTTTTTCATTTTACTCGGTTTTTTTGTAGTCTTACGTTGTCCATTATCTATTATCCAATCGTTTGACGAATACCTTCTAAACTAAACCTTGCACATGCAGCGCGTTGTTTATTTTTCGCTATTTTTTCACACACTTTTCCTAATTTATGGTTAAGTGCTCAACATAAACAAACTGGGAATGACATAACAATAAACGTACATAACTACGTCAGATATTCACACATAATTGTATGTTCTTTTTCTGCTTCTCCTTTTTGTTTTTTTTTTTTTTTTCTTAAACCTTAAAAGATTCTATTTTGTAACACCTCTTGTGACTTAAGCGCACAAGTAAAAAACAATTTACAATCATCTTGAAACGAATTTTGCATACCCAACCGTAACCCCAATCGCGGTAAGTAAAGATGAGTTTTTAAAATAAGTTTTGCGGTCCTTGTGTGTATAGACGATCGGAGTAAAAGTGGAACAGATTTTTTACTTATTACTCTCCTTACGTTTTTCCCTTATTAAGTTTGAAGAAAAAAAAAAAAAAAAAATTTGAGAATTTTTTACTCCAACTCTTGTTACTTTTCACGCATAGCGTAACGGCGACAATACATTTTTAACTTTTGTCTGCATTTGCTTTTTAATTATTTACTCAAGTGTTTCAATCTAAATTTGAGAATTACTAAAGCAAACCTAAGCGCATTTGTTGTAGTTAAGAAAGAGTTGAAAAATCTCACTTCAAACTCAGCAAAAAGATTTCTACTGCCGTTGATATTTATTACTTGACGCTACAAACAACATAATAAAACTCTTGTTCGTACTTCTTTCGATGATGGGTTCAGAGCACGGAAGACCAACAAACAAATGATGCACAAGAAGCTCATAAAAACAAGTGAAACATGCGAACTAGGTATGCAACAACTACGAGAGGGTAAAAAATACTAAAAAGACTTAAGGATGGTTTGGAGAGAACTTTCCGATACCCTTTGCTTTCAGTGATATGATCCATCTAAGAAAAGTACAAAACCCTTGATGTTTTCCAACTTTGAAAATATTAATTAAAGGTCAAAATAGTCAAGTAGTGAAGCTGTTTAAAAAGTATATTAAGTGCAAGATGTTCTTCGTTGGTCCTGCCTTGATACTCATATTACATAAAAACTCTTCTATGCACGGATTTAAATAGAGCCCGAGTTGGCTGAATATGATCTTACTACCAAAAGCAAGTGAGGCGAAGAATAAGTAAAACAAAAATGGGTAGCAGGGACATAAGTGTTAAGTTGACAATACAATAGTCCCAGTTTAAAGCAAGTGTGAAGCTTAAGCTTTGCTCAGCTGAAATATAAAATCAAAACGTTAGGCCAGGAAGCTAATCAAATATGAAAAATTTAACTTTCGCTTAGGTCTTCAACTGTCTTTACTAAACGTTTGAATGCAAAAATGAAAGCTAACTTTGAGTTATGTGCCAGAGAATTGAATGGGAGATGAAGTGAATAGCTGTGAGTCACATATGAAAAGTTTAGCTTTCGCTATTCTATTCCGCCGTTTTTGCCAAACACAACAAATACAACAACTTTCAGGCACATGATTACCTCTCTAGGTTGTTCGGAATATACATTATTTCTAAATTCCATGTGTAGTTCAATAACACCCGCGTATGTTCATAATCATTGGTTGTGAGCATATGTCTATGACTGGCTTGACAGTGCCTGCTACTTTTAATTTTGTTATAAATAAATTCTTCCCATGCAAAAAAAAAATATAAAGGAAATCATTAAACTATAAAAAAATTCCTCAGAAATTGGAAAACTTGACAGCATTAGTTTAATGCATCTGACGCTATCATTTCTTCCAACCTTTGCAAAGCTCTTCCCCTTAGTTTGAAACGAAATATTTCGAATCTATCGAAATCATAACAGTGCCATTACACCAAAGGCCAGTAATAGAACAAATATATGCAAATGTGTTAATAGCATTTTCAAAATTTCATATACTACCGAAGACTTATCCATTTGCAAAGGCATTGAAAATTACATTAAATGTTATATAAATCAACAAAGGCGTACAAAGAATAAAAGAATATACGCAGAAATTAAAGAAATAAATACGCTCTCAAATGTGATATACATATATATCGGAAAATAAGAACTTCATGTCAATTTCATTTTTGGAAGAAAAACCTTAGCTGTCCAGCTGAATTTAAGTTGAATCTACAACCATCCAGAACCAACGCGAGCCTCTTATAGGATTAGACTCCTTTGAAGGAATCGGTTAATATTTTTGTCAAATTGTAGATAATCATATATACATGCGCCAGGCAGAACGTAGACGTGAATTGCACTTTATTCCACATTTAATCCACGGCTGCATTGCTCGAAAAGTGTATATCAGCCTTTAATTGGATATTAACGACTTCAATAGTACATCAAATTAGTACATGCCCATCGTCCAGTCGCTTGAAGCGGAAGTCCTAAAGCTAAAGTTTTTTACTGACCATTCTTATTACCTTTCCTTAAACACAAACTTCAAATATTTTTTAAAATTACCCTGCAATAAAAAAAGGACTGCTTGGCGATGGCGTACTTATAATGAGAGTTCATCGGGGGAACAAGTGCTTACAAAGAACATGTAAATGATCAAAATGCTTACCTAAGCTGCATTGCCTTTGCTCTGCGATAAGGAGTGAGAAACACATAGATAAAGAAGCACACTTTCTAAGATTCAGGTCTAGAGGACGGTACTCGTTATTATATAAAATGCTGGGATAATTTCTGTTCCTGTTTGAAGACAATTTCTTAAATATATAGATCGCACAAGTTTTTCCGTTTGTAACTAATTTTCAAGACGACTCCAAATCCAGTACTCTCCCAAACCTCAGTAGCGTTTGCGCTTACAGGGAACTACCCGCGAATGGATACATTTTAATTGATTTACTCAAGTAACGTTATCTTAAAAGACATCTAAAAATACTCTCTCCTTAAGTAGAGTTATCATATATTAGTTTGGGGAAAAAGAAATCCATTATTTTTATATGAACTTCAGGACATTACACTTTGGTGTCTGCCGAGCTGCCATAAGTAAGTCCCAGGTAGTAAGTTATTCACGTCATTGTACAATTAACTCAACAATATCTCTTTTTCTGCAATCAAAGCAATCCTTGAATCCAATGAATCAATTTAAGCGCGTTGAACAAAGAAGTCTTATATGTATTTGTCTTGCATACTATCGCTACCCAATTAAGGAGAGATACTTTGTTATCACTTATCGACAATAAATGAAGTTTCGCTTTACTTTAACGCTCATGGGAAGAAAAACCCCTTGAAAACAAAAATTTAGAGGAAGATTGCCTTTAATAATGCAAATTTTGGACAAAAATAAGCCGAAAAGAAATAAAAAAAAAAATTTTTCGTTTGAAATTTTCTCGCAAGTTATCAATCATAATATGAGACCTTGTGCAGAAGAGCACTACTATTCGTTATATTTCAAATTAATTCAGAGAATTTAATAAATACGTACCAACGACTGTGGGAAAATTTATCCTCCCCATCATACGCATCATTAAAAACTTACCTGTAAAGAAAAATAAAAAGAGAACAAAATAAGTTAAACTAATTTATAAATTATTCACATTAAGATAAAAAATCCAAAATTTTAAGGTATCACCTAACTAACACAATAACAAAAAAAAAAAAAAAGAGTAAAACAGAAACCTAACATTACGTTAAATACAGACAATCTTTGCTGATTGCAGTCATTGAAAATATCACTGATTCGATATCCATCAAATAATAATGCGTTTCAATTGCAATGCAATTCAAGACAGTTATTTAAGTTGTAGCCTTCAGTTGATAACTGGTTTAAAGTCTTAAAATCTGAAAAGGTAGCTGCTCTTGCCATAATTCTAGATCGGGAGATGGAGAAAGAGAGACAGAGAAAATTTGTTAAGGCATTTTGGAGATTTAAATGACGATTTGATTACGTCTCTTCTTTTTTTTTTTTTCTTTCTAACGTCTTTGTTGGTGAAATGTGTTGAGTGAATCGGTTATGAAAGAGAAAGCTGAAGATGCAATTATGAAACTATTATTAAGTGTTATATAATCACAAAGGAAAAATAAAATTTTTGTATAAAATTTAAAAAGAGATTGTAAACAGTTAAACCATGAAACCATGACTTTTTGACTTTCCAAGCAATCTAATCACTGATCATATAGACGGTTATAATAACAAAGACTAACCGTTTGTTAAAACATATACTTCTATGAAAGAAGGACATGATGTTCATGGCTTTTAATGTTTCATTTACAAAAGCTTGATTCTGATTTGTTTCAACTAAGCCCTTCTGTCCGTCCGTCCGACCTGCTGTTGCTTGGAACGGTACGGTAGGGAAACCACGATTCGAAAAATTAATTTCCACTTTATACTTTCCATCAAGTTTGTCTCACCTACACATGCGCGCACATGCACCTACACTTGAAAAAAAACCTAAATAACGAAGATAGAGGAAAACATCGATTTAAATATGTTATGGTCTGTTAACTGGCAATCTGTAGCATATATATCATGGTAAATTTTGACAGACATACTTATCATTACATAAAAGAAACGCATGTCCAGAAATAGAAAATTTTCTATCGTGAGAATTCATTATTCTCTTAATGGCAATGCAATAAGTGCCTGGCTTTCCTATTCCTATGAGTTCGTAATCAAAAAAGTGTCAATTGTCGTAGCAAAAATGCCATAAGATGAAAAGTCTGCTAAAAGCAAAATTTCAATAGTTACGTTAAAGGAGATTTAACCAATAGTTATGCTTCCTCTTTCGTAAGATTAATAAATAAAAATTTCATCGACTTATGATTTCCGTTCTTCTCTAATTAATTGCATTAGAGATAAATCAATTTTGCAAGTTTTAATACATCCTCCGCAAGATGCAAAAACCTTATTTAAAATTATCGATGAACATTTGTCATGCGGCCCTCCCCTTTATATTGGCATTGCAATACTAAATGTAAATAATCGCTTAGCAGCATTGAATTGATTCTGATTCTTGAAGACAAAAAGCCGGAAAACCTATAGAGGAAAACATAAATCAAAATATCTGACTATTAAAATAAACAAATGTATACATTAATTGAACATATACATACATATATATATATACATATACGATATACGATATGTATGTATGTATGTATATCGTTAACATTTTACCGATATGAAAGTCAATAAATATTAATCGTAAAGAAATGTTAATGCAAAGAGATTGAAAGAAAAAAAAACCAAAAAAAAGAAAGAAAGAAAGAATTACTTATGTATATTATTGATAATCTTAAGTTTAAATATTTTAACGTAAGAAATTTTCACATATCACATAAAGACTTGACTACATATATTTTCCTTTTCTCCCCCGTATTTTTCTTTTTAATTACAGCTATGTATTCTCAGCGCCTGATAAATTATTGGATTCGCTGCCTGGCACTTTAATGTTAACAGATTGTTTAGAAGCTTGCCAAGGAAACGAAACCTGTCAAGCTGTTAATTACGAGACTGGATTGTGTGTATTATTCTCGGCTAATGCTGATCAGTTACCAGGTATGAATGTTTTTATCTGATTATATGTGTTTATATATGTATATATTATAGAGAGATGCGTGCACGTTTGCCTAAGCTATGTATGTACATAGTTAAGTAAAGAAATTTTGTTGTTAAATACATAATTACCATGACTTGTCAAAAAAAAAAAAAAAAAAAAAAAAATTTTTTTACTTAATTATAGATTTTATTAAGCACAATGAAATCTGCTGTCAAATTTATAACTGCCGACAACGTGAAGACGACACTGGAAAAAATATCTCTCTCTCTCCGTTTCGAAATGCAAAAATCAATGCAATGCGCTTGCAATGAAAGACTATGATCGCGCAGACGCGGTATAATTTTAACGTATGCGAATGAAGGGGGAAATGCAATAATAATTGCGGTAGCTTGCGAGTTTATTGCTAGTGAAGAGTAAAAATATGCAAAACTGTTTTCACTCATATCACTTATCTTTAAATTGATACGTTTAAGCGGGAAAATCCAATTTTTTGCAACGCGACTGCTAGATATGCGCTCAGCATTTTTTATAGACGCATTTCAAATATTCTTAGGAGAAAGATATGTATTGCGGTAACGGGTATCAATCTCAGTTCGTTCTGCCAAACCTGCTTGCTCCAGTAACAATACATGTACGCACACCGCTTTCTTTTGGCGCGAGTTAATTGCTTACGCTAATTAAGATGTCAACAATGATTTTCTTCAAGTTCGTTTTTTTTTTGCACTATTTTGATTCACTTTTATGCGTTCAAACAATTTTTTAATTTAGAAAAAATAGTGTCATACATTTTGATAAGATATTTCACATATAAAATAATAAAAAGTTTTGTTAACTGTAGGCGTGTCTATTATCTATGTGAAACTGCTTTTACCTTTTTGCAACCGGGGTCTTACAAAATGTTAAGCAACTGCAAGTTAAAACACAAGATAAAATTTCTTTGACATTGTGGATGTGTTTGTAAGCCCTTCTCTTTTAAATTAGACCTCTTTCTGCGACGTTTTATGTGCGTCTAAGCCCTATTATGGGCGTATGAAATCTATTTTCAAACTCGATTTATATTTGCAAGACAAGCAATGTGCTTCACTTCTTTACGCCAATACCGCCTGGGATCGGCGGGCAGAACGACAGTTATATAGAGTTACAATTGATTTCAAATTTCATTGTAATCATCATAAGTTTCTGATGAATAATTCTGACAAATGGAAAAATCAATCTATTGAGAGCCTAGCCTCTGTCAGCGTATATTAGATTTTAGAAAATGAATTTCATTCTCCTTCGTATCTGGAAAGCGATGCATAAGAAAGGACCCAAATCTTTATAAACAATCACTAGCGGCTTCGCCGGGAGTGTGCTCTCGACTGATTTCAAAAATTGTCTTGCAATGTTCCCATTATATTAGGTTGTCAAATTACATTATATTGTACTTAATCGATTACCCGCAAATTTTATCAATGATACGATCCAATATACAACTCAAATATATATATTTTCAAATTTTTTCTCCTTTTGAAGTAATTTATTCTATATAACGTGCACAGCCTTGACTTGTGAGAACACTTTAGATTAGAAAAGAATATGATTTATAGGATTTTCAATATCCTTTGCTGTATAGAAGTGAAGCGATATTATATTTGATCTAAAAGGTTTAACAATAGATAAAATGTTCTATAATGAACTCGTGCTAGAGTCTTATATTATTAAGGCAAAGATATACGTTAGGATAAGTTTTATGAGAAACTTTTAAGAGAAATAGAGGAACAAAGCATATATATCTCAACTTATATAATTAGGTTTTTAATTAGGTTTGGCTAATTAATCAAAACAACATTCTAAACAATATTCAAAATGTAGTCAAACATGATCATCCTGAAGATTTCTAAGCTTGTTAGAACATCAAACGCAAAAAAAAAAAAAAAAAAAAAAATCAATCAAAGAAAAAGAAATCGCCAAAAATCAATTTGCAAAAATCTCTTTCTATTCTATGTATATTTGAGTTTTATTTGTAGTGTATTTAATGACTGACTGATGTTGTATAAATTATGGCTTACCATGAATTGGCAAATTGTCAGAATTTATAATTGAATTCGCTTGAAAATTTGTTAAGATTATAGCTAGAATAGTTTTTATGTTTCTAAAGGCGCTTCACCCCTCTCTCTCTCTCTATCTGTCTTTCTCTCTGATAATTAAAAATAAAAAACACAGTAGTTCACTGCAAAGCCAACAGAAGAAACTCCAGTTATGCTAATGTGGTGAAACAACAACAACATAATCAAGAAAATTAATTATTTTGAGAAGATAAAAAGCGGTAGGAAGCCATCTTTTACGTCTTATGTCGAATCTTTTCTTTTCAATTTATTTTTGACGATTTTCCTCAAAGTAATTTTCAATTTTACATTTCTTATATGAAACAAGCGTAATTGTGTGTGTGCGTTGTCTAAGCTTAAGTAGAGATATATGAATTTTTCGTACTTAAACGCAAGCTTCGCATGCTTTACAAGCGTCATGTTGTGTACGACTGTATTGTTAGTAGTAGCAAGCAACCTGCAAGCTTGGGATTAAGGAAACCTATCGATTGCCTTATCTGCGGCAATACATTATCGAATTATTTCTATAATATATATACATATACCTTTACCTTACAAGCAAATTTTGAAATTTTTTCCAGATTTTAATAGCTTTTACAGGTCTTTAGATTATTAGACAGATAGCATCCAGCTCATACTTCCTGTCGGCCATTGGCTACAATTTTATTCGCGCCTACTGTAACCACATGACATAATTTTCTTTCGTTCCAAGACTTTCACCCATGGACAGATAGGCTGTCATGAATCAACAAAGTCAAAAGTTTCCCAAAAGAAACCTTTTTTACATATAAGCCCAGCAATAAAGTAAATGATGGAGATGATGCATATTAAGCATAGAGATGTCCAAGTTATTATTATATAAGCCCAGCAATAAAGTAAATGATGGAGATGATGCATATTAAGCATAGAGATGTCCAAGTTATTATTATTATTTCACTTCTTTAGCTTTAAAGTGGACTTTAGCTTTACCTATACGTGATCTAACGACTTAAGCTAGTTGGATAACGGGTAGATAAGGATCGTAACTAATAAGTTCGGGTTCGGCATTCGAGTTCAAATCTCAGTGCAATTTGACAATAGTTGGTCGTTGCTTTACTCAGTCCAATTGAGATTGCGATCACACCCACTAGGCTTCAGCCATAATGCCCATAACCAAGTTACTCGTATACCGAACAAGCCCTAAATGATTGGACAGATTAAAAAAAATAAATTAATAATAAAAATAAATCGGTCATCCATAATAGATCTAAACTAGGAACTTGTAAAGCTTTCGGGTTTGTGTGAAGTGACTTCTTTACGGTGGAAGCATAGATCTCGCATATATCAAACCTGGACTTACTTTAAAATCCCTATTCTAACTTTCAGTTATCCATCTCAATGCTTCTGGCTTTTCTACGAATATGAATCGATTTGGATGAGTTTTTAGTTGCGTTAATTTAACTAATGTAAAAGCTAAGGTTAGCGTAGCAAAGCTTCAGAAATTCTGTACGAGGGTATCCGGTAAAAATAAAAGCATTTTCAATCAGTGAGCGGACAGACGAATGCTACTGAAATCCATGAGTTATTTTTTTCATTATAGTTGGGGGATTTTCTTTGCAAGAATACTATCCATTGCAGAGGCACTCTTGATCACCACAAGGCAAATCGAACAAATTGGACAAAAGTGAAAGGAACAGCATTAATGTGCTAGGCTTGATTTGCTATTCCTGCTTACGTCTATAACTTATTTATATAAATTGTGTAAACTACAAAATTTGGTAACAAGCACTTGAAAAAGTTAATACAAACCCTATGGGGTGAATAATTATTTATTATTGATATTCTATGAGAATAATCTAAAATATAATCATAGGATTTACTTGTATTATTCTAACCATCTTTCTTTCTTTCATCTATCTACAACTGTGAAAGTATTTTCAACCATTTGCTTATCAAATTAATCTGGCCTTCAGGTTAAAAAAGCGAAAGAGTTTCGCTATCTTCTTCATTTATCTGTTATATCGCAGATATCGTAGATCTTTCTTTAATTTTTTTAAAATATATATATATATATATATATAGTTGAGCAAAATTATTCAAGTTGCTCTTAATTTATTTACGATTTTCGAATTTTCATTTTTATTTCTTTTGCGTTTTTTTTTTTTTCTTTTCACCCGTAGGTGCATTGACAAAATCTCAATTCCCTGTATTTACAATTTATGCACAGAAATCATGTTTGGGCGTTAGACCATGTGCACGTGCTTGGTGTGTTGATCGTGTACAGAACTATAAACTAAATGGACACGCTAAACGTTCAATGCCAGTAACAACAAGACGTGATTGTTTAGAATTGTGTTTGGGTGAAACTGAATTTACATGTCGGTAAGTAAAGTAATGAAATTGAATTTTTTTTTTTCTTCTCTGCTTTGCATTGCTTTTGTGTTTCGTTTTTCTCGTCTTTCATTTTCAAGCTTTAAATTAACTATAACAATAATAATAACAACAACACAACATTGAATAAATGGACTGAAAAGTTATGTTGAAAGAAGAAAATATAAATGAAAAAAAGTGCAAGTTTTCTACACACAGACACACACACACACACACACACACAAACACACACAAAGCGATAAAAACATAAATAATTCTTAAGGAAAAACGTGTCGAATAGAGAATAACACAGTGACGAAGTGAAGAGTTATTAAATGACTTCCTAGTTTTAAAAACGTTACAAGGGCAAAACAAATTTCAATACACTTTTTCCATAGTAAAAGTTGTCAGTGGGATGATAAATTATTTGCTTACGCTCACCCTCCCTATCATTCTCTCAATCTCTCACTCGTTCGCTCTGCTTTTATACATTTCATTGCAAATAAAGACATTAGTTTGATGTATTGCCTTATGGGAGCCAGAGGTTGCTTCCAAGTCTTAAAAGGCATTAAAAATGATTTTAATATATTTCTCTTTTAAAGACATCTTGCCCCCTAATATTGTAATATTACGTAAATCCAACAGGCATTGATTGCGTTTGAGGAACGCAAAAAAAAAAATTCATCTCCTACTGACATTCATGGCTAAAGTAGCATTGTAGGTAGTATTCAGATTTGCAAAACTCATATTGATTAATGTGTTAGTAAGAGGTACACAATCGTTTATTGTTCCATATACGCTACTTATGATGCAAAGTATATTCAGTTTATGCGTACATATGTGTTTATGTAACAATGCCAAGGGCACATTTCTCATTACATCGGTCGACGCAGAACAATTTTAGTACTGGGTGCGTTATAGCGAGGAGTTTGCACCACAAAGTTCACATTCTGAGCAACAAGTGTAAGAATACGGTAAGACATTAAATACAGTCTTAGAAGTGCTAGTTTGAAGGATAACGCTATCTTTATATAAGCTGGAGATGATGACTGACTCATTTTCTGACTTTTATTTGCGAACTAGATCCGCTTGAGTGGCCGAGCAGGCAAAAGTCTCGACTAGCAACTCAATGGTCGTGGGTTCAAATCGTTCAAAGCCGAAAGCCTTAGATGCTGGTGCTTTAAGACTTTAGTCTTAGAATTCATTCTCTGTCTAAATTTTTAATAATCAATAATAATAATATTTACGAACTACTAATGATTGCATTGCAACCTGCTTTTTAAACATGTGCGGGCATTAGTTGAACTATTTTTTAAAACAAAAAGGCGCCACAGCAGTTGTCGTATGAAAAAAAGGTCTTCTTTCACAGCGCACCTACTTGATCTTACTCTTCTTCTCAATTACCTCAATTTCAAGTTCAAATTTCAATTTGATTCAATTCAACCGAAGTGATTCGGTTGAAATATTAAGAAGAATTTTTCTAATTATTCCTTCAAATATTGAGTATTGGCTCGAAAAATTAATATAAGGTATTGTGTCGGTTATTTAAAAACACCATAAATGTTTTCAAATAAGTATTTTACACACTTGAATGATTCAGAAATTGCTTTTGACTTGAAATTATTACCACTTTAAGAAAAGCCCGCTTGCAATTCATTAAAGCCGCAAGAGAATATTCATAAGAAAAAGCCAGAAAGCTCTGAGAAAATGGAATACTAAATCCAGTGTAAAAATTGAAAATTTTTTTTTTAATAACGATATACACAATGTAATTTAACACTAGAACTGCCAATTCGGTTATTTTGACCCTTTTCAATTTTCGGAGTAATGGTTACAAGAGAAATTTTTTTTTTTCTTTACACATAAAGACCTTTAAATAATTGCAATCACATTTTTTATACGTGACCTAGTTTTCGAGATGCTGACGCTATGTATCCATTTCTATCAAAAGCGATCACCTTGTCGTAGTTGTAAAATATAACATAGAACTTTATTGAACAACCTCGAAATTACTTTTTATGTCTCGTTGTACAATTTTCGATTTTGTGTAGAGATATTTTTGATAATCTGTAACCCAAATTGTTCGTCAGGATCGTCTTTAGTCGGAAAATAGTTCTAATCGGATTATTAAGGCGGTCGGCTACAGTTTGCGATACAATTTTAATTCCAATTTATTTCTTATTTATCCTAATCGACATTAGCAGTTTTTCAGTCCAATTGCAAATTAAATTAAAATTAAAATTTTATCGTCACCAATCGGGACCAGTTTTGGATAGAAACTGCAGATAGATTTGACAAACATTTAGGTTTAGCAGGTTTTTCCAAATATTTTCACAGGATCCGACGACTTATGTATGAAAATACGAAAAAATTGTTTTTTTTTTCGTAGTGGCTTTAGTTTCTTGTTTTTGTGGGAAGATTGCCGCCAATGCTTTAGCATTGGATTCTTAATCGAGCAAGTTATGCTTGTGCCCAACTTCAGCTACTTAACCTCACTTTTACGACTTTTTGGTAGAAAAGGCAATAAGCAAAACGTCTGTAGTTCTAGTGTTAATTATCACTCAACCTATGGAGGGAAACTCAAACGAAAAAAAAAAAAAATCTAATTTGAGTTCAAGTAAAAAACAAAAAAAAAAAACAATAAAGTGTAACTTTGTCAAAGAAGATGGATTTCCTTTATGAAGCCTAAAGTTTAATTACTTATCATGAGGATGTACATACTCTATGTAAATATATTTATAATTTCAGGGCAGTTATAGTCTATTAATTAACCGTTATTAGGATATTTAATATGGATTTCTTGCTTTCTTTCCTAAATCTTTAGTTACTTCAATGAAAATATTGCAAACGACCTGCATTTATTACATACAATTTTCTTCCATTACTTAAGATAACAAAACAATATTATTAATATATATAAAAAAAAAATAAATAAATAAATAAATAAAAAAAAATTAAAAATGAAAAAATTGGAAAAGTTTTATATAGCGATTGATTTATAGCCATTAATCATTAATAAAGCAAATAACTTTTCTTTAGAAATTTATAAAATTTCATTTGATTACCACCGCTTTTCAATAAAGGCAACAACAACAACCAGAAAAACCACCAACAAATGCTTTATCAGCTTTATATATATATATATCCTAGAGTCCATGCTTTGTTCAGTGGTCGGTCAAATAGAATAAATAAAAATAAAACGGAAAATAAATTAAGGAGAAAAACAACAACAGCAAAAGTCAGTGAATGGTGGTAGTATGATGTTTTTTTTTTTTCATCTTTTTCCTGCTTCTTCTTCTTCTTCTTCTTAAACTTCTTTACTTTGCAATTTATTGCGTGGTAAAATGTGATTGTTTTTTATCTACTCACAGAGATGAGGTTGTTGCTGCTTTGCTATAACTGCTATGCCATGTGCTGCTTTTAGTGCTGATACTAAGAATAAATTCATGTCAATGACTGGCAAAGCAAACATATGTTTTTCCAAAGTATTGTAATATGGTAGCCTATGCAATAAAAAGCTAGGCCACATCGCGCTGCTTAAACAGCAGCAACAATGGTAACTAACAGAACAATACTACCATTACTTGTTGCCAAACAACGCTATTCGGAAATACTAAATATGTCATATCGTTCGTAACGCGCTAAGCACTACTCATCAAACACAAAAGTAGTTTGAACAAGTTTCCCCAGGTCCGTCGGTCCGTTTTAACATTCTTAGTGTTGAAGCGATAGTGACTATCGCATCAAGTGAACAAACGAAACTTGCTATGCACCTCTTCACTTCGCATTAAATTCGAAAAAAGGTATGATCCGTGTGCAACACGTTGTGCCAGCAACTGATAACAACAGTGTCTCGAGGCTACTCTTAAAAGTTCTATTAAAAAATGGAACCAATCGATCTATTGACATAACCAAGAATTAACAAAAATATCGAAGACCTTTATGCTTTCTTCTCTGTAGGTCCAGGATGGGTATTCAAGATTCTCGTTTTAATACTTTTTTTCCTTTTTATTTATTTATTTATTTTTTTTTTTGCTTTTTGTTTTTACAGACGGCACAAAGAGACTTGAACTCGTCGTAGCTTTCATTACATAGTTTCTGCTTTTCCCGCATTTTTATTTGATTCTTTCTGCAAAATTGTATTTTGACATCTACTTACTGTTACGCATACTTGTTTCTTTTTTTTCTTTTCTTTTCCTTTTTTTTCCATTTTATTCGATTTCTAGATTATAGCCTGAAAATATAATTGATTGATTTATGATATACTCGTAATATCTTGGAGTAAAATGGTCATTTGTATTGCTATCAACGTTGTTGTTAGAGACGTTGTTGCCGTTGTTAGTGTTATATTAGCGGGCAAATCAATGTTTAAAAACAGTTGCATAGGCGGGTAATGGACTTTTAAGTTAGTTTTACTAATTTTTTTTATTTTTTGGTTTTTTTTTTTGTTTTGTTTTTTGTTTTTTTTTTTTTTTTTTTCTCTGTCCATACACGATTATTATTGCAATAGTATTAGTTTAATTAAACTTGCTTTGCTGTCATGTGCCGTATATTGCGTAACGATATCTCGTAAATATGGCATTAACGACACGAAGCAAACAAGAAAATATGTAGGTTAGAATGTTTCAGAAGCAAATAAGACGAAGAGGGAAGATAAAGAAACGAAAGAACGACCAACTTAATGGAGTCCCAAGCGATCAGTTAAACCTTATTTAGGGAGTCTCTTCAAGCTTAACGGTAAAAACATAAATAAATAAGAGCAAGTCAGTGATCAGAGGAAGGCACTTACATTTCAATGAGTTCAATTTAGAAAGCGATTTAATAATTGATTGGCATCATTTACTGAATATCAATAGATTTTTTATATAATGAAATCACTACCTCTACTACTACTACTACCACTACTACTACTACTATTGCTAAAGGACGCGAATATGTATGTTAATTTTTTTTTTTTTTTTTTTTTTTGCTCTTCCAATACCCAGAGGAAAGCAGTGAATCTTTAATAGCAA